GTGCAAAAAAAACAGAAAATTAAAAATATAAAAAAAAAGTAAAAAAAATTTTTTGAGGGGGAGTTGGTGGTCCAGAAAAAAACCGAAAACTAAAAATACAAAAATAAATAAAAAAATTCTTTTTGAGGGGAGAGGGTTTTGCGGGTGGGGGAGGGACAGGGTGGGTGGATGGTGCAGAAAAACAAAAGAACATAAAATTAAAAATACAAAAAAAAGAAGTAAAATTGGGNCAGGGTGGGTGGATGGTGCAGAAAAACAAAAGAACATAAAATTAAAAATACAAAAAAAAAAGTAAAATTGGGGCAACTAAATAAATTTCTATATAAGTTGGGTTGAGATACCTTTTGTTTTGGGTGAGTTTTATATGTTGTATTTGGGCTGCTTAATGGGTCAGAATAAATTATAAAATATAATGGGTTAACTTGGGCTTAGCCCAAATTGACCCATGAGCTAAAATATTTGTAACTCAACACATTAATCTCATGATTGTTTCATCTGATTTTTTTTGTTTTTGTTTGGACATCTTCCTTCTCTAGCAAGAAGTCTGGTTGTCATAGTTTCATCCAAAGATGAGTTCAAGAAATAAAGGTATTGTGAAGCCTTGTAATTCATCAGCAAAGCAGAAAGCTATATGTGAAACAAGTACTACACTGACGGTTGATGATATAAATGTAGGCGTAGAAGATATGGGGTTGAACTCTGATAAAAAAGATGGATGGGTAATGTGTTCTAGAAAGTCCAAGAACAAGGGTGGAAGTGGCAATGTTGGGAAGAATCAATGGATTCCTCAGAATCCCACTCTAAAAACCAAGCTGGGAATATCTAACAATATTGTTGGATCGTCGGGACAGGGTTTTAGGGATAACTGGTCTACGCCTAATTATCATCCTAGAAAACCTGCTGGCAGAGAATGCTATACCAACACCTGCTGCAGTTACTCCTGCCCTGAAGAATGGTTGGGATTGGTCATCTGTCGCTCGTTCCAATGAGGACCAAGATACTTATTCTCCTGTTGCTGATGATGTCAAGGCACATGATGGGAAGGATAATGAATTGGATTTGCCTGATGATGACAGTGATGACGAGCTTCCGAGTGATGACGAGCTTGAGGATCCAAATGTGAATGAAATGAGTTATGAGGCGTGCAAGAAAAGTCCTTGGTTCAAGAACCTTTTCGAATGTCTTGACAGTTTGACTGTCACTGAGATTAATGATCTGGAACGACAGTGGCACTGCCCTGCATGCAAAGGTGGTCCGGGTGCAATTGAGTGGTTTCCACGGATACAGTCAATGATGATCAACTCAAAAACAAAAGGATTTAGGATGAAATTACACAGACAACTTGCTCAACTTTTGGAGGAGGAGCTGCGTCAGAGGGGAACTTCTGTTGTACCTCCTGGTAAAGTGTATGGAAGATGGGGTGGCGTCGAATTTGAAGATAAGGAAATTGTGTGGCCACCGACAGTGATTATAATGAACATGGTGCTTGAAAAAGATGAAAATGACAAGTGGATTGGAATGGGAAATCAGGAGTTGCATGATTATTTCAGCTCTTATGCTGCTGTCAAGGCCACCCGAAGTTCATATGGTCCACAAGGCCATCGTGGTGTGAGTGTATTGATTTTTTAGGCCACGGCCGTGGGATACATGGAGGCTCTACGTCTCAGTGAGCAATTTTCTGAAAAGGGAAGAGATAGAGATGCATGGGAACACAATCCAGATCTCTTTTATCCTAGGGGCAAACGTAAGCTTTATAGTTACATGGCCAAGAAAAGAGGCATGGACAACTTTAATCGGCATTCACATGGGAAGTCAAGGCTGAAGTTCGAGATTCGGTCATATCAAGAAACTATTGGGAATCCAGCAATGCAGATGTCAGAGGATAATCAACAGCTCCTATGGTTCAAGAACGTCCAAACCTCTAAGCACCAAAAGCGGGCTAAGGCTTCTGAAACGTCTCTAAGACTTGTAAGTGAAAAGCACCGCCAGACAATCGAAGAGAACAAGATTGTCATACTGAGAACAAAGATGCACCAGGTACGGAACAAGGAAGAGATGGAGTATCTAGAGAAGTTTTAAGGATCAGTTGAAAATGATTTACTATACGAGGACTTCTGAGGAGGACAAGTTTGAAAAGATACAGCAGTGTAATGGAAAAAATTAAGTTTATATATAGAATTCATTATAAGATGACACGTGGACCAGTTAAAGAAGAACAAGTGATGAAGAATAATCAAAGAGCATAATCTTCAAGAGGCACGGGCAGTCATTTAGATAAAAGGCAAGGAAGGCAGGTGCTCGAACCTCTATATAACGGAAGAGAATGAATCTGATAGAAAATAAGGAATAGATACAAACTATTGGGCATTAAATACAGAAACGTTAAGGAATCTGTATTGAATCAAATATGATTGCTGATTGTAATGTTACATTAAATGTCATTAAATGCCATTAATTGAAAATAATGACTCAATTATGGAAGAAACAAAATGTACCACTTAGAAATAGCTATAAAAGGAGAAGATTGATCATTTGTAAGGACATGAAATATCACCGAAATATACTAATTTACTTTGTTTTCTTCTGTTCATCTAATTATTATCAAAGCCAATTTCTTTTATTCATTTTATATATTGATTATCAGTAACCCGAGTTCTTCTAAAATAAAGCATTGACCGAAATTGCTATTTTTGGTTAAACAAGTTTCTTCCGTTACCGGGGATCTGATAATCGTTTACTTTCTTAATCAATTCTTTCATCAAAACTTACCATGTCGAATAACAACGACAACAACCAAAATACTCAACATCAGGAGATTGATGCGGGTGATAGGACACCACTTCCCTCACCGCGTGATTCACAACGTCAGTCACGAGAAGGAACTACAGATGGCTCTGAAATAAATAATGGGGTTACAAACGAACAAGCACTTGATGATGCCTTAAACAATCTCATTGCTCAACAAGTTAGCAATGCCCTCCGAGCTTTTACCAGCCAATTGCCAATTGCACCACCAACACTAACTCCGAATCAGAATACTTTGGAAAACCCACATTTTGGGCTCGTTAACTCAGGCACTGGTAGTACTCCAAGTGAGTCTCGCGATGGCGAGCCAGGTAACATAGTTAATTTTGATTTACAAAATTTAGTTCTAACCTTGTAGAAGCAGCTCAAGGAGAAAAGCGACTGTATAGAGCAAATACCTGGAGTATCGCCTGTAATCAAAGGAATAGACGTGGATAAGTACTCACAACAACCATGAAAGCCTAGTGCAGCTCCAGTGCCAATCCAAAGAAGTTCAAAATGCCTGATATTCCAAAGTATGATGGCACAACTGATCCACAAGACCACGTGACTGCATTCACAACTGATGTGAAGGGCAACGATTTAACCAAACAAGAAATTGAATTAGTGTTGGTCAAACAATTTGGTAAAACATTCACCAAGGGTGCATTAACATGGTATTCCCTTTTACCCAAAAATTCTATAAATTCTTTTGCTGAGCTTGCAGATTCTTTTATCAAAGCACATTCGGGAGCTCAAAAATTGAAAAGAGAATGAAGGATACTTTCAAAATCAAGAAAGGAGATTTAGAGTTGCTTAGGGAGTTCGTGGATAGGTTCTAGCGTGAAAGAATGATGTCACCACACGTACCAGATAATTGGGCAGCTATGGCTTTTGGCAGTAACTTGAATGAGAAAAGTTCAGAAGCCATGAGACGACTCAAGGAAAGTCTGCGTGAATTTCCAGCAACAACCTGGAATGACGTTTACAACAAATACAGCATGAAGCTGATGATAGAAGAAGACACTATCTCCCGATCTCATAAAAAGGAGAAGGTGAGTTCGAGACGTTCAGAAAATGAAAAAGGTCCGATAAAAATAGGTATGAATCATATATGGGCCCAGCAGGAAAAGACTCACGATCAAAGCAGTATAATTCAAGGTACGATCGTAGATCGAGAAATAGAGAGTCGGGTTCGCCATCGAGATTTGGGAATGATCGAAACTCACAGGAAATTCGAGATGATGATAGGAACTTGAAGGCAAAATTTGGCGGTTACAATTTCAATGTCAGCACTTTAGAATTGGTAGCGGTGTTAAGAGGCATGGGCAATAAGGTGCATTGGCCAAAAGAAATGAGATCAAATCCAAACAGGCGCAATCCTGATCACTGGTGCGAATTTCACAACGATCATGGTCATAAAACGGCAAATTGTAGATTGTTAAAAGGCGAAGTTGATCATCTATTAAAGCATGGGTATCTCACTAAATTATTCAGTGATAAGGGTAAACAAGCATACATGAAGAACAAGCAGGAGCCCTCTAAACCTCCTTCTCCCAAAAGGACTGTTAATGTTATAAGCGGGGGCGAAGAAATCAATGGTGTAACATACACAATAGCCAATAAAGTTTCCAAAGTCACAATTACCCATGGGAAGCAGGTGCGATATGTCTTAGAGGAAGAAAGCATTACGTTTGATGATGCAGATACGGATGGCTTGTTAACTCTACATAACGATGCCCTGGTAATATCTCTACTTGTACATAATACTAATGTGAATCGAGTTTTGATTGATCCAGGTAGTTCCGTGAACATTATTCTGCTGAGAGTACTGCACGATATGCAATCTGAAGATAAACTAGTACCAAAGGCGCACACTTTGTCTGGATTAGACAATTCCAGCGTTGTGACGAAAGGGGAGATAGCACTTACTACATTCGCAGAAGGGGTTGTCAAAGATACAAAGTTTTAGGTCGTAGAGATGGAGATGGCTTACAATATGATTCTTGGGAGACCATGGATACACGAGATGGATGTCGTTCCGTCTACCTTACATCAAGTTATTAAATTTCCATCACCATAGGGGAAACGTCAAATCCGTGGAGATCAACAGACATCTAGGAGCATCAACTCTGTAGCAGATTCAAATACGAAAAACGAAGAAAAATAGCAGTTACAAAATTCAATTGAGGATACCACAACACAAGCCTCAACTGAACAAGGGCGAACAGATGTAGACTCAAGGCCCGATTCCATTTAAGAACCAGAGAAAAATGAAAATATCAAAACAATGATTGAAGAACTAGAGGCTGTAGAGTCATTTATACAATGGCCTGAAAGGAAAGTCTACGTTGGGGCTAACCTAAGCCACGACATGAAAGGTAAGTTGATTAAGTTTTTGAAAACTAATATGGATTGTTTTGCTTGGTCCCGTTTTGATATGACAGGAATACCACCGGAAGTAATGACTCACAAGTTAAATGAATACCCATCATATCCACCTGTTAAACAAAAAAAGAGAAAGCAAGGGACTTTCAAAAATCAGGTGATTCAAGATGATGTCCAAAAATTACTAAAACTTGGGTCTATCCGCGAGGTAAAGTATCCTAATTGGTTAGCTAATACTGTTGTAGTACTGAAAAAGAATGGTAAATGGCGAGTTTGTATAGATTACACAGACCTTAACAAAGCTTGTCCTAAAGATTCGTTTCCATTACCACATATAGATAAGCTAAGTGATGCTACTGTAGGACATGAGTTGTTAAGCTTTTAAGATGCGTATTCAGGGTACAACTAGATCAAAATGGATCCCCTAGATGAAGAAAAAACTTCATTTATAGCAGACAGAGGGAACTACTGTTATAAAGTAATGCCTTTTGGTCTCAAAATGCTGGTGCAATGTATCAAAGATTGGTAACCAAAATATTCCAAGAACATTTAGGAAAGACTATGGAGGTATACATAGATGATATGCTCGTCAAAACTCAACATTCAGGGAACCATATATCGCACTTGTCTAACACATTTCAGATCTTGCGAAAATTCAATATGAAATTAAATCCTGAGAAATGTGCATTCGGTATTTCATCAGGTAAGTTTTTGGGTTTTCTTGTTTCTAACCGTGGTATTGAAGTAAATCCCTCACAGATTAAATCCATTGAAGAAATTCCTGACATGCTTACGAGTAAAAAAGAAGTGCAAAGGTTGACGGGAAGAATTGCAGCCTTAGGGAGATTTATTTCCAAATCATCAGAAAAGTGTTTTAAATTCTTTTCATCTCTTAAAAAGCAAGATCAGTTCGAATGGACTGAGGAGTGTCAACAAGCACTCAAAAACTTGAAGACATACCTGTCAAATCCGTTGTTGCTCGCAAAACCAAAGGTTGGGTAAAATTGCTCGTTTATCTTGTTGTCTCCGAAGTAGCAGTAAGTGTTGTTTTAGTTCATGAAGATCGAGGTAAACAATCTCCAATTTATTATGTCAGCAAATCATTATTAGATGCGAAGACGCGGAATCCTCAATTAGAAAAGCTTGCACTTGCACTAATCATGGCATCTAGAAAACCAGGGCCTTATTTTCAATGTGACCCTATTGCCGTAGTAACTGCTTATCCATTACGCAATATATTACATAAACATGAGTTGTCAGGTAGGTTAGCCAAATTGGCTATAGAGTTAAGCGAATATGACATCACATACCAGCCTAGAACCGCGATAAAATCTCAAGTGTTAGAAGATTTTGTGGTTGATTTTAGCCAAGGAATGCAATTAGAAGCAGAAAAAGAATTACAGGTGTTCAACGGATCTAATCCAAGAATTTGGACCTTATTTACTGATGGCTCATCT